TATGAATTTTTTACAATTCTTGGGTATAACAAATTGTAGGCCCAAACATCACCCCCATTATATATGATCAAATTTCGTTGATCAAATTTCGTTGTTTATTTCGATTAAATATTCTTTTTAAAGGGTTATGTATAAAATCTATAATTGACTTCATAGTATAGTTAAATTCGAAGGTTTGCAAAACATGTAGTGTCGGGTGCTGAAAATCAAACCATTAAGTCCATTTTACTTTACAATTTGTAACCTATGAAAATGTTCCCTAAAACTTGTTCGAAAGGAGCATTGGGTTCTAATAATTGTCAAAAATGAAATAGGCTTGTATTCTAATTTGATGACATTTATGTCCCTTTAATTAATTAGATCACGATGAATTGGATAACCTCAATTGATACACTCTCTTAAGTCGTGTGGGAGTCCAGATTCGACTCACAATATCCTCTTCTCCCCCCTCCTTGCTAAGTAAAAATTAATGAGAATACATATATTTAGTGTCTCATTTCAGCTGTCGTGATCACTTTCCTAAAAAAAAATTGAAAAATAAAAAATAAAAATAAAACTTGACAATCTTTTGTGTTGAAGCTATTTTTGTAGATAGTGAGGAACCCTCAACATCACTTGACATGCTTTAAATTGGAAAGCATGTGATGAACAGAACAAAGAAATAGAAAATGAGAATGGTGAGGTAAAGATAATATATATAGCCAATGAGCATAAAAGAAGAAAGGAAATAAATAAAAAAGAAGACCTGGAAAGGTTAGAATTGACAAAATAAAATCAAAATAATATATATATCTTTTAATATTTTTTAAAAATTCCTTGGATTGTCAAATATCTTCCTGGATTTTACACACATTGAACAACAACAAAAAATAAAAATAAAAATTTATAATTTATTTCTTTGAAGGAGACCTTTTGCCTTGTAGCATGGCTTTATATTCTTATACTTATTGACTGATTGCTCAGTTATCGTTTGAAAGTTTCTGTATACTTAGTCATTACTGAATATATTGGTTAATTAGACCTTGCTCTATATCTAGAGGGAGAGAAAAAGAATCTGAAAAACAAGATGGATCTTAGATTTGCATGTTGGAGGCATCTTCCCTCAAAAACTGTTTGTGATGGTAATCTCTGCAACACCAGGAATAGATTGATGTTTTATAAATCTAATACCTCATTGAAATTCAATGGCAATGATGGATGATGATGATGATGATGATATTTATTGCTATAGTTGTCACTTAGCAGTAGCAGTTGCTATTATGGTTTGATCAGAATTGGTTGGGAATGAAAATTTGGAAATTCTACTACAATCTTTAGTATTCAACATAACCCATCTTAAACCAGTCAGGTTCTTCATCAAGATTTTGCAGATCTTATTTTTGGTTTATCATCAAACTTGTAAAGAAAAACTATTTCTTTTTGAAACTTCATTGAAGTGGAGCCAAAGAGATGATGACAGAACAATGGATGCATGATGGGCAGATGGTTTTGAAATATTCCATGGATGACTGAATGAATGAATGAATCTCATAAAAAGTCACTGTTCTTTTCTCAAAACAAAACTAACAAAAACAATTTCTTTAGCCCTTCTATATATGGTGGTAAAGATACCTGTTTGATATTGAATTTTCTGATACTGTTAATGACATAAAAAAAACAGATGTGAAGATAGTATCGAAAAATTAAATTATTAAAAACTTTTAAAATATATGAAAGAAAAGTTGGTGATATTATACTACTACATATATAGATTATATACATATATATATAAGATTATATTAGATCGAAAGAAAACAAGATCGGAGAAGAGAGTGAGATGGGTGGGATGTTGGGTACAGTGTGAGTAGATGTTTTGAGTACAAAGGTTCCCACATCGGAAAGATAGAGGAGGAGTTAGTGGAGGAAGGCCTATATAAATGATTGAAAGCAACAAGGATAACATACTTACCTGGACGGGGTCAATGGGCGATCAACAAGGCCCATGGCCTAGGTTGGCGACTTCCATTGCACTTAGGAGGGGCGCCCGCCTAAGGTCAGCCCAAGTGGTTGAGCCTACGTCATAATTTGTGGTAGTGGGGGCCTGCGTTCGCGCGGCCCCTGCCCATTTCTTTAAGCCAAATTTTTTTTTTTTTTTTTGGGTTGAGGCTTAATAGTCGTGGGCTACTGAGCTTAAATCAGTTAGGCCCAAGCCTATTTTTAGTTCTTTTGGTAATATAATTTTTATTACAATTCTGATTTATGACAAACGAGGGCAATTTAAATCAAAGCTTTTAAATTTTAGTCTACCTTGATAGTACATTTTTCAAAACTATACTAAAACAAAAAGGAGAAATGATTTCTACTCTACTCCCTAGCATACATAGAGAAGAAGCTGAATCTATTCCACTGAAATAACTTGCCAGACTTGTTCAACTCTTTTCCCTTCTCTAGAGGATCTCCTCAAAGCCGAAGACACACATTGTGAGATTGAACCCATCAAAGGCAATTCAAAGTAGTAGTATCAACCACCCCACCTCACAAAATTAAACGAGACTCCCTTCTACAAAACGTACTATACTGCCTTGAAGGTGTAGCTCAACGGATCTCAGCTCCTAAAATGGTGGGCTATATGTCATACCATGCCCTATCCGTATGCAGTATTCTACCGTCATAGCCAAAATGAGTGAGAAAGTAAAGGTGTTTCAGGGTGAAAATGGAGATAGAGTAGAAGCTGTTGGTGTTTTGTCACATGGATACCTCTCAGTGGAGCCATAATCACGTGTGCCGGGAATTGAACCAGGGACCTCCCTAGTGTGCCATTTCTTTCCATGATGGGATAATCTCGTTTGGCTTCCATTGCCTACTTTAATCCAGCTAGCTATGTAGTTTTTTATTGTAACATTGAAATTCCTACTAGTTTGATCAACCATCAACTCATTGCTTCTCCCTGTGAATTTTTCAATAATGTTAAAATACTAATAATCTTTAATTATTTGAATTTCATTTTAGTAAAAATTTAAGATCCATACGGTGAAATAGTAGAGACTAAACGGCCTCACCCCGTACAGAAAGATTGTGTGTGTGTAATTGGGTGGATCTCTTTGTTTGTTCTAGACACGTTTGGGAATTATATTTTATTGTGAAAATGGGAAAAACAAAAACAAATAAAACATGTTTGGTCTAACAAATATATATATTAATTTTTATAATAAACTATTAGGTAACAGGTGATGGAAACTGAAAGACGTGGGTTTTGATTTTCTAAAATGATATGCCCATATGGGGATATAGGTAATAGGTTTTGATTATATAGGTAATAGGTTTTGATTCTTGCAAACAGATATGGGTTTTGAACTTCTGAAATATTTGGGTTTTGAACTTCTGATTCTTGTAGATTTTGTAGTTTGCAATTGCAGAGAGAGAGAGGAGACAGAGAGGGCAAGTTCAGATCTGAGACGGAGAGGAGACAGAGAGGGCAAGTTCAGATCTGAGAACGAGAATAGAGATGGAGGTATAGGTAATAATAGGTGCAGACAGATAGATAAACTGAAATAAATGGGTTTTGAACTACTGATTCTTGTAGATTTTGTAGCTTGCACTTGCAGAGACAGAGAGACGGTAAGATCCGAGTAGAGAACGAGAATAGAGATGGAGGCGATTGGAAATGATTTGCGATCGCCCAAAATCGCCAAGAACAGCTGCGCCAAACAAAACCCTAGAAAATGACATTTTGCCTTTTATACGTGTTATACTTGCTACAATTTAATGAAATAATTGCTTCCTCCGCTACAGTAATTTGTAGCCCAAACAGTGCCGAAACATGAAAAAACACGAAAATGGTGTTTCATATTTTGGGCCTATTTTTGAAATTATTTTGGAACTATTTAAAACACAACAAGCCCAACCAAACATATTTTCGGCTTCCAAAGGACTACTGTAGCAGGCCAAAAACAAAACAAAACAGATGCTAAACAGGCCCTAAGGTTTATGGCCTAGATTGGTGACTTCCATTGCACTCTTGAGGGGTGTCCGTCTAAGTTCGGCCCAAGAGGTCGAGCCTACGACGTAATTTGTGGTGGTGGGGGCCTGTGTTAGCGCGGTCCCTGTCCGAACTTCGAGCCCAAATGGTTTTAGTTCGATTCAGGCCCTACTGTTCCAGTTACCTTAAAAAATTTGTGTGAACAATTTTAAACCAGAACGCAGCAGGTCCCTGTCCAAACCCCAGGCCCAAATGTTTTTAGTTCGATGGCCCTACTGTTTTCAGTTTCCTTAAAAAATTAATGTGAACAATTTTAAACTTAATTTATTTCAATTAAATATTTTACTGAAAAATCTACTTAATTAAAATAAAATATATATTTAGTTTCCGTAATTTTGTTTTTACATGAGAGAATAATTCATTTTTATTTAAATTAATAATGCAATACTATTTTATTTTTATTTAAATAAATACGTAGTATTATACTGCTGCCCTAAATACGTAGGCTTAATGCTGAATTTTTAGGTGGAAATGCGGCTTTTTTCCTATTCCGATTCTAGAAACAATTCGTTCAAAAGCTTTGAGAATACTAATTACCGACGTAACTAGAATCAATTATGAACAAAAAATTTAGTTGTAAATGTGTGTACTAAATGTGAAAAAATGGAGTTTCAAATGAAAAAGATCACATTTTCTTATTTTCCATGAAAATTAGAAAATGAATTTACCAATTCTTAGAAAATAGGTGAGATATAGGATGCCCATTTACATACACAAAACATTTCTACATACAAGTTGAACTGTATAATTGAAGAATCACTAAAATAGAAAAATTCCTTGAGCCATTTTTTAGATTTTGTGAGCTACTTTAAATTCGTAGATTACACCAAATTAACATCTAGGAAAATAAATTGAAAATTCATGGTGGCAAAAATCAGCAAAAGTTGGGCAATTGAAAAATATTTCCATTAACGGTTGATAATAGATCTACTTCTCAATTTAATGGCACAATCAACAATTTTGAAATGAAAAGTAGCAGAAATTGGGATCAAGCACTTCAAATTGACCGATATTTACGATAATAATCAGGGAAAAAATTAGTTAATAACCACACACGGAGAGAGAGCAGCTCTTTGCAAACAGTTAATAAATATAGAATTTCATCCCGTAGACGTTTGAAACTCCTTTCTTTGTACTCTATACACTTGGTTTGTTTATACGAGACGGCATCCACCACATCTAATTGCTCATTTACCTGATGGAACCAAGAAATTAAAGAACAATTCAAATCAAGCTTGTTTGAAATTAGTTTATAAGATTTATTTATAAATACATCGATAATACTTCCTAAATCACAATAAGCAACTAAATTTTAACTTCAAATAAAACAAAATGGAGAAAAAAAAAAAAAAATAGAAATAAATAAGTCCCCGTTGTCTGTTAAAATTCAGAGCTAGGTTCAGATCACTTGACTTCACTCCTGGTATTACTAACCAAACATTATATTTTAACTACCAAGAGCGTATAATATTGTTTCCAATCAAATCAAAAGAAGAAAAATGGCACCACAAATACACAAACGTAAAATTAATTGAGAGTATAAAATGATTCAATTAAAAGGTGTAGATGACTGAATATGAATGGGCCGCTCTAGTACCCCTAAAGTTCACAGATATAGATGTTGCAGTTCAACCAGCACAGTTCACCTTCATGAGGATTAAAGAAAATTGTCGTTGCCAATCAAACAGACGTTCTAATTCTTGACCGCTTAATATAGTCTTAAAACAGTATTGTGAACTTCATATAGGCACTAGTTCACTTACACAGGTTCTATACAGCGATCTAAGAAAATACTAATGATTTAATAGACTATAAGGGCATACGTACCATTGTTTTGCCGCACCATTGTGAACCTGTGTATGGCTTTTATTAGAGAACCATATTTCATGGACTTCAGCGGTCCCATATGCCTGTAACACATTCATTAGCAAAAATTCAGTTCCCCAACATTGTGTAGTTCAAAATGAAGAAGCACTCCAAGCACAGCAATCCCTAGCTCATAAAATGAAGAGAGGCAAATAATCAAAACTTCCATAGTTCTACCGACCAAAAGGTTATAAACACAATACAAATAGGAAAACACAATTGATGGAATGTTAAAGTAAATATTCAGTTTGTCTACAGTTGCAAGTTAATGTCACACACTAAATAGGCCCACACTGACCAATAACCAAATATATTCAATGGTAAACGGCGTGAACTACATATTTCCATACTCATAGTTTTAAGGCGGTAAATCTTCCAAGTGATAAATAATTTGAAATTGAGCCAAATATATAGGCATATATTTGTTTGTATCACTTCATATTTTCTAATGCCCTAAATAAACTCTTAAAGGTGTGACATGTTATCAAAGCTCCAACAAAATTGAAATTATTTTTTTAAGTTGTAGCGACCAACAAGCTTTCAAACCTCCTACAGCAGTCACCTGAGGTGGTTCCAATGTCTCAGATTAGGCTTTCTGCATATTGTTGGTCTATGGACTTTTACCTTTAGTTTTTCCCAGTTAATTATCTCTTTCCCATTTGCTTCGCTTTGTCCCCTCACCCCCACCACCCAAAATCAGCAAGGGAAAAAAATTCCATTAGAGCAGCCAAATCTTGGTAGAGAAGATGACTATGAAATATGAACCACTAGAACAAGTTTCTTGGTGCTTAATTCTGGTCATTCAGTTAATCTTTTTTTTGGCCTTTTTCAATCCTTCAGATCTATGATTATAATTCTTCATTTTGCCTTTCGTAACTAGGCACCAAATGGTTAAAACCAGAGAGGGAAAAACAAAGGCAGGAAAAAAAAAAAAAAGAACGGAGGAATTCAGTTAACCATAAGACATCTTGACCATAAGTTCCAACTTCTGCATGTAAAAGACAAACTGCACGTCTTAAGGGCTTTCTTTGTTTGTTTAGGAGAGGGGGAAAAAAAAAAAAAAGTAATTCAACAGTTACAACCCAACCCATCCCCACCTCTCTTTCAAGGTGCGAAAATTTAGTAAGTAGTGGGTTGAATTTGCAACCTAAAACAATGAGGTTGCCTGAGAGTTATGAAACCACTGCGAACTGAAACACAAATTTGCTTTCATAAAACAAATAAAACCCAAAACAAACTAAATATATTCAAACTGATGCAGAAGCAATCTCTTCTAGAATTCATTGTTGCTTCTGAAGCATTAACGTAAATATGAGAAATATATAAGTAATTTAATCACTCTGTTGAAGAACAACTCACACAATCTCAGTATACCGAATTCTCCATGCAGGGAACACAGCAGAGTTCCTTATAGAAAGCTCTCAATGTATTCCTCTCTCTCTCTCTCTCTCTCTCTCTCTCTCTCTCACACACACACACACACGCACAAACACCATGTTAACCCATTTATCTCTACCAAGAAGAAGACAAATCGGTCAGATTGACATCTTAGACAGAAATCTCCTATTTAACTACTAAAACCAATGCCACATGATCTCTCTTTTAAATTAGTAAAAGTAGCCGTGTTGCACACACAACACTTTGTTATGAGTATCTAATTATGTCCAACTTCAACAAGCCTGGTCGCACATCCACCTTGCAAGTATATCTGGGAGTTTAAGTTTATTATCTCACTGTACTTGTATACACTCTTATTAATTTTGCTTTTATTACATTATTGCTTCACGATGAGAGAAGTTGGCCATTTTAAACCGTATATGTTAAATTAAAAAAACCACTTTGCTCTAAAAAATAAAAGAACACTAAAACATATTTATATAGCCTTGTATTTCATTAAGTTTGGGTATCTGATTAATCTAATGCTCAGACACATATCCATACAGGAAATGTACCCAAGTGCGTGTAACACATGTTAAAAATGCTCCGCTGCTAAAAGAGAGGGGGAGAAAGATTATGGCAGAGGAAGATAAATATACAACAACTCAGCTAACTTTTCATAATAATAAAATAATAAATAAATAAATAACTTGTCATGCAGTCATGGAGTTAAAATACATATCAGCATCCTTACCCCCCACCCCCTTCTCTTCCCTGGTGGTATTGAAAACGAGGGCATTTTATGTCTGTCACCTGTTATCTTTTCCTGCTCATCTCTTCAACTCTTGACACTACACCCGCAACCACAAAAACCTGAAATAATTACATGATGTATGAAATTTGCAGTAATGGCCCAATAGACCATTGCATGGGCCAAGTCAATGGAGGACTTAAGACCGATATCATCAATGGAGTAGACTCATGATTTTTCAAAAATGACTCCATCATTGATTTGTTGCACCTCCATTCTTAAAGTGGTTGTGTTGTAAACTGCTTTGGAGGATTAAAAATCAAATGATTGCAGTTCAATTGGACATTTATATGCCTCCTGATATAAGCTAATATAATGCTAACAGAAGCCAACAATATTAGTATAGTAATTATCACCATAAGGATGGCATCAACTAACAGGAAATCATAAGCCACCAGAATTACTAATGCACTCAACCAATTGGGATTCATACAAAATAAAAATTACTAGTTCGAGTATGCTGCAAAGATTGATTGGGCAAAGACAATATATCTTTACAGTAATGAAAAATACATTTAAGACCAACAAAGAGGAGTTATCAACAGATCAAATAAAAAATAAACTAAAAAGTACTTACTTGCGCAATCCAGTAAAGAACTTTCCGCATTTCATCTCCTAAATCCATTATTCTACAAAAATAAAAATATATACCATCACACCTAATTCAACCACCCAAGTAGAAAACAATCATACAAATATTCTTATGAACAATTGCAGAACTTGTTTATACTCTACACGGTATGATATCTAGATGCATAGGTGCATAAAAAATATATATAAATACATGTATAATTAAGTTGAAAGAAGGCAAAAATTATGGATTTTAGGATCTATCGTTGATTCTGTCAACTGGGTTGCTATAATTATATATGATAAATCAAGGTTTAGCTTCTTCGATCTGAAAAGAGCCTAGAACAAAAAAACTGTCAGAAACCAAGAAGAATCCATTGAGGGCCACTTCAGATATGCATAGCCTTAGCAAGAAGTGGAAAAAAAAAAGTTTATGCATCTGAACATCACAGAAAATTTAGAGCAAGTGATAAAACGAGAAAGAAACAGAACCAATACGAATTTGACAGAAATAGCTGATCAACTTACTTTGTCTTTCTTCACTGGTTTATGAGGCATTTGGTGTGTGTGATTATTAGGGTCAAATTACTATAAGCTTATATATATATATATATATATATATATATATATATATGATGCCCCCATTCCTCTCTCTCTCTCACTCTAAGAACTGGAGTTTGGATGTAGGCTCCACCAAATCCAACGAATGGACTAATGAGAGAGTATCTACGACAAGAAGTGCTTTCAGATGCAAAAACAATGTTTGTTGGGGCCGGGCAACACCTGGTAACTTCTAGGACCCTCTAACTGGTGTTTTTTCATGTATGTTATGTAGTGGACCAGGTTCATCTCTAGATATGAATGGATTTTAGAGCCTCATTGGACATGTAAAATCTGTTGCAGCCATCAAATGCTGACTGAGAAAGGAGCATTTGAACACTCAATTCTGACTGATTCTAATGTTCCATACGTGCTATTGATAATAAAATTTTATTTTTATTTCTTTTGAAATGAAATACTCTCAACATAAGGGGTATCTTCTTCTTGATTCTAAGGTGTGTTTTTCTATTGATAGTTTTTGCCAAAGGCAAAACGGAAAAGCCTAACAGTTTTAAAGGATGTAGTTATTTCAATTATCATATGTTGTCAGTTTGTCAGTTGTCATGTACAAGAAACAAAAGCTTGTACAATTTCAAGACACAAAATAGCAAATTCGACCCACATTTTTAAATTTCATGCACTCTAATACCTTTCAGTGTATACTAAACTCACTTTAACATATGACACGTCCCGAGGCTCATTTGTAACCACCGACTACCACTATGCCGCTCTTACCAATATGGCTAGCTCAAATCATTTTCAACAGTTAAACTGATACTATACGTACTAAAACTCCTCTCAAAGCAAATTAAAGCATGCATAATAACATGCAAATTGCTCCATGCCACATACAATAACAAGTGACAAATGTAGTGGTACTTCTGGAAGAAGTTTAGCACATGACCATAATCATCCATTCCACTGAATAGCTGGCTTTAACAATTAAAATAGAAGTTCGGAAAAAGGAGAGGGAGTCCTATAATGGCGAAATGGTTATGCACTCTTAATGTTCCTAGACCACAATAGAAACTGAAGAACTTAATAATAAAGCCTAATTGCTTGGAGTTGGCTATAACAATACAAGGCTGTAAGGAATTATATAGCGTTGATCCATCCAAAATTAAAAAATTATTAACTTCTTTTAAGTATCAGCAATAATTTCACAGTGAAACCAAAGGAAGCTAATAACACATGTACAAGGGTTTAAATCAAAAAATGGAACACAGCCAACTATTCATCCAGCATGCCTTAGTTATTATAATTTCTCTAAATTCTTTCTTCTTTTGAAAAGGTCACAATACAGAAAATCTACATTCAAAAAGCACATGAAAAGACACCAAGTTTTGGTAACACAATGCTGAGATGCCATCTTTAAACCACATAAAATTGAATTTAGAAAGATTTTCTCTATCAAAATAAATAACTCAAATTAAAATGGTAGCAAACTCTTGTAACACAACAAACCTGCTTCTGGCGATGGTAGCTCTTGCAAGAGCAGTCAGCTGAGCAAGAATTGCAATGGTACTCACCCAGTCTCGCAAAAAATCTATGGGTTGTGCTCCTCCACGAAATTTTCCACCGCCGCCCCCCTCCGCCGTCTTCCTCTACTGTCGCTTTCTCGTCTCCAAGCGATGGCCCCGTTTCTATTGCTCTCTTCACAATTTTATCAACCGAAAGGTCTGGATTGATTCGGAATTAGGGCTCTATTTGTACATGGTTTTTTAACACATTTTGTTGTAATATGAATGATATTGAATCATACATTTCACTCTCTTCCTCCTTATAAGTTGTCCGACTATTACGCTTGTTTGGTAGGGTGGGTTCAAAGAAGAAGGATGACATTACCTACGAAGACAACGGATGGGACAGATAATTTTGACCTCCTGTGTTTGATTAATTAATTAAAAAAAAAAAGGAAATTATTTTAATAAATTAATTATTATATTTTTTATATTTTAAAATAAAAATAATATATATATTATTATATTTTAAAATAAAAATAATATATATATATATATATATATAAATAATATAAAAATAATATATATATATATACTATATAGATATATATATATATAGTCTCTTGTACTGGCCACAAGAAAAGAAAAATAAAAATAGGGCAAATCATTTCAGCCTCCCCAATCTCGCCTCCATCTCTATTATATATATATATGTGTGTGTGTGTGTATATATATAGTCTTAACTTGAGACCACAATAAAAGAAAAAAAAAAAAAAAAAAAGGGCAAATCATTTCAGCCTCCCCAATCTCGCTCCATCTCTATTCTCCTTCTCGACACTGAACTCTCTCTCTGCACTATCAGATTGTTCAAATTCAAAACCCATATATTTCTAGTTTATCTCTGTTTGCAAGAATCAAAACTTGAAAACCCATATCGACATCATTTCAGATTGTTCAAAAAATCAAAACCCATATCAGTTTCCATCGCCCGCTGCTGTTCCAATTTGGGTTCGCCGTTCTCAACTCTTAAAGCAAAATTGGCAACTGAAATCATACACAAGACTCTCCTTCCATTTCCCTTCATTTCCTCCCATTTAATGGAAGGTTAAAAAATTTACAGTTGAAAGAACAAGTTAACCCTTCAAACTTTTTCCTTTCCTTCCAATAATTTTTGTTAAACACAAATTTTTAATCCCCTTCGTCACATTACCTTCCCTTTCCTCCCATTCCCACTCTACCAAACTGACCCATAGTCGTCACATTACCTTCCCTTTCCTCCCATTCCCACTCTACCAAACTGACCCATAGTCTATTACGCTCGTCGAAATTGAAGTTATGCACTTGTGCCAAGTAATGTATTTCAAAAGACAGTCTTTATATGAATAAATTTGAAATTGAAAATGTATAAAAAAATTATTTCACATAAATAGAATTAAAATATAACAGATTTTAGCATACTTTTTTTTTTTTTTTTTTTTCGACAATTTGTATAGCATGTTTACAACATACATTTAGTTATGCCAAGCTAATAGGAAGTGCTGTGCAATGAACAACTATCATCTATATAATTTTAACAAAAATATATATATATATATCATCTATATAAATGTCGTCTATTACTGACCAGAATTAAATGTTTATAATTGTATAAAGTATTCTAAACAATATTATACAAGTTTGTACAATTTTCTTAAAGAGAATTTTAAAATGTCTTGCCATCCATATAGTTGTTAGTCTTTTAACTTAGAGTCTGCTTAGCATAATCTTTCCAGGTGGAAATGTGACACACACATTAGCACACAATCAAGTAAAATTTTCTTTACTTTGGCTGCCCCTACAAACATGGATTATTTTAGGGGAAAATACAAAACAAACAGGAATTTTTACATATAAATTGAGTTATGGAGTCATATTTACTGGATGGAGTCAAAGTCTTATATTTTCACAAAAATGAGTTTGACCTAAATGATGACATGGCACATGAAGTTTTACTGTTTAAAATTTTTGTTACCTAAAATGCCCTTCTCCTTATTCCAATGCATTTACCTTATCACCCTTGTTCAGAAAACATGGTACCAGGAGGCCAAAAAGTGGTACCTTCGGTTCAAAAATGTGGTACCTTTAGAACAAAAGTGGTACCTTCGTAAAAGGGAATTGTTTTTGCAATTGAAAATGACATTGAACCCCACACCGCTAATTAAGTTGCACATTACATCCATAAATAGTTCCATTAGCGCCATGAATAATACAAATTATTTTTCAAGCTAGCTAAACGAGTGTTTAGAAAATATGGTACCTGAAGGCCAAAAAGTGGTATCTTCAATTCAAAAACGTGGTACCTTTAGAACAAAAGTGGTACCTTCGTAAAAGGAACTTATTTTTGCAATTGAAAATGGTATTAAACTCCACACCGTTAATTAAGTTGCACATTAGATCCATAAACTGCTGTTAAAAAATTTATAAACCTTCTTATTAAATATAAGAGCCTAACATGCATGCATTTATTAAATAGAACAACCAAAATCCATTACTTTTCATTAAATCAAAACCATCAAGTGAAGTACTATGTCTACAAAATATTTTAAGTTACCACGAATATCAAAAAAGTTATGATCCATCCAATCTAATAAAGTCAACAAAAAATAAAAAACTAAATCACTAAATTTAAAGAAAGCAATCATCTTTTGCAAAATAAGAACACAATTATTAAGTTTGAACATTTATTAGTCCCTACTCGTCCATACAAAGTCTTGATTGCAATATTAGCCCCCACTCATCCATACAAAGTCTTGATGGCAAGAATCGATCCTCCAATCACACTGTCCAAAAAAAAAAAAAAAAAGGTTACTACATTTAATTGTATCACATTAACGAAAAAATTAACCAACCTTAAAGAAGTAAGCGAAACAGAAAAAGTGAAGGAGAGGAACTGAAAACGTGGACAAATTTTCAAACTCTTAAACAAAATGAAAAAATACAATTAAATGCATAAGATGAGGCATTCCAGAATTTCTAAACTGGGATATTCCAAAATTTCAATAGCACATCAGTATAATTATAATTGTATGCAAAGAAAAATATAATTCTAGACTGGGGCATTCTAGAATCTCAATAACACGTTAATCTCTTTAAGTTATAATGTATAAGATGTATGTTTGAATTCATGATAATCATTCTATTCTTATCATACAATTAATATATATATATATATATATATATATATATATATATATATATATATATATAAGTAGCATCCTACAATTAATTAGGACCAGATCTATATCAAAATTTTAAATGGTCTTCATGTATAAGAGGTCTAGAAACCAAATTGTCTCCCTATTATCATTGAAAAATTCTAAAGATTTAATTATGACCCAGATCCATATCAAACAGGATCTTTGGATACCATAATTTTTTTAACAATTGCATTATTAAAATAGTTATTCAAAAGTCCCAAACAGCCTTGCCGATTAAAATGGTGCGAAAAAAAAAAATCTACCATACCAACTATTTAGATGTAGTATATGATAATTAAGAAATATTTGTGTTATTTATGGCGCTAATGAAGCTGTTTATGGATCTAATGTGCAACTTAATTAGCGGTGTGGGGTTTAATACCATTTTCAATTGCAAGAAAAAAGTTCATTTTATGAAGATACCACTTGTGTTCTAAAGGTACCACGTTTTTGAACTGGATGTACCACTTTTTGGCCTCTAGGTACTATGTTTTCTAAATAGTCGCTTAGCTAGCTTGGAGAATATTTTGTGTTATTCATGGCGCTAATGGAACTGTTTATGGATGTAATGTGCAACTTAATTAGCGGTGTGGGGTTTAATGCCATTTTCAATTGCAAAAATAAATCCCTTTTACGAAAGTACCACTTTTGTTCTAAAGGTACCACATTTTTGAACTAAAGGTACCACTTTTTGGCCTCCAGGTACCATGTTTTCTAAACAAGAGTAATAAGGTAAATGCATTGGAATAGGAAGAAGGACATTTTAGGCAACAAAAATTTTAAACAGTAAAACTTCATGTGTCATGTCATCATTTAGGTCAAACTCATTTTTGTGAAAATATAAGACTTTGACTTCATACATGAGTAAATATACCTCCCTAACTCCATTTATATGTAAAAATCCCTAACAAAAACCTATTTTACAAATTCCTAGGTATCTATTCTCAATTTCTCGCCAAATACTGGTATAAGCAGCCTCGGAAGGAAAATATATAATAAAGAAGGAAGAGGATATACAACGTCCCATATTGAATTGTATTGTATAGCTTTTTAAATTTAAGGGAAAATCACCTATATTGTATTGGTGTTGCATACCAATTTAAATACGATAACTTAGATGATCAGCGGGTATCATATTTCGAAGGTGTGACAACTGGAGTTGCCAACACCATTTACTTACTCGTGGGTTAGAAAATGCAACAGGAGATGATCAGCCATTATCATAGTAATAGTAATGCCTTTTATCTATTATTATTAGGTGCATCCCTTGTTATTGTTTTTTCATCCAAAGGGTCCTATTGTTTAAACAATAGGACCCACAGTCTTTGTACTCATCCTGTGATTGTTGGATTAACCAGTGCCGCCGACACAAGCTTTTACAAGTTTTTACTAGCAGAAATAAGTGGATTGAAACACACTAAAATTTGACTAATCGGTGTATTTAACACTGAATTAGATCTTAGCATCCACCAAAAATTTACAAGTGCATGATGTCATCAGATTATTATGCAAATTAGATGCAAAGAATAGAATCTGATCTACCTGCACAAATAGCTAAAGACTGAAGTACTAGAAAAGATACAAAACTAATGCAGAGGTATAGTAACATCAAAATTTTTATAAATTTCATTTTACTGAATAACTGGGGATGAAGAAAATCAAACAACCCAAACATCAAAACCCTTATGTTAAGGCCCAAAAGAATAAAAACATTAATAAAAAAAAAAAACAAAAACAATAACACCCACCTTTAAGATGATAGTACTAAATTATCAACTATAGGAACCATTGTTGAACCAGATAAACTTCAAATGCTACAATTGAATGCAAACATTGCTGATCAAGGTTGTTGCTGAGCATCCATAAACCCAGCATCAACAAGCACTTTCTCTCTCTTGGCCAATTCTACATCCTCATCAACCATCATCTTCACCAACTGTTCAAACCCTACTTTGGGCTTCCACCCAAGTACCTTCCTCGCCTTGCTCGAATCGCCTTTCAGGTTATCCACTTCCGCAGGCCTGAAATACCTCTTGTCAATCACCACATGCTCCTTCCAATTCAACCCAACGTATCCAAACGCCACCTCCAAGAACTCCTCCACCGTGTGCGACTCCTCCGTCGCCACCACGTAGTCGTCGGGGTTCTCCTGCTGTAGCATCATCCACATCGCCTCCACGTAGTCGCCGGCGAAACCCCAGTCCCTCGACGCCTGTAAATTGCCCAAGAACAGCTTGCTCTGGAGCCCGATCTTGATCCGACCCACGGCCCGCGTTATCTTCCGGGTCACGAAGTTCTCGCCCCGCCGGGGCGACTCGTGGTTGAAGAGAATGCCGTTGCAGGCGTAGATCCCGTAGGCCTCGCGGTAGTTCACGGTGTACCAGTGGGCGGCGCATTTGGACGCCGCGTACGGCGATCTCGGGTGGAATGGGGTCGATTCGGACTGGGGAGGCGGGGTAGATCCGAACATTTCGGAGGATCCGGCCTGGTAATAGCGGATGTGGGAGCGGCCGGTGGCGGCGATGTGGGAACGCACCGCCTCGAGGAGGCGGAGGGCGCCGGTGGCGACGACGTCGGCGGTGTAATCGGGGATTTCGAAGGAGACAGCGACGTGGGACTGGGCGGCGAGATTGTAGACCTCGTCGGGGAGAATGGTGTCGAGCCAGCGGCGGAGGGAGGAGGCATCGGTGAGGTCGGCGTAGTGGAGCTTCATGAGGGCCTTGTGGGCGTTGTGGGGGTCGATATAGATATGGTTGATCCGCTGGGTGTTGAAATTGGAGGACCGTCGGATCAGACCGTGGACTTCGTACCCCTTGTTGAGGAGGAATTCGGTGAGGTATGACCCGTCCTGGCCGGTGATGCCTGTGATCAGAGCTGTCTTGCGCTTTGGTGGTGCTGTTGATTCGCCGCCGTTAGTGGCGGCAATTGTGGTGGCTGATCCGGATCTGGAAGTGTCATTTTCAGAGGCCATTGTTTCTTACTCTGCTTTGTTGGCTGAGGAAATGTAGAGAGAGAGCGCTTCTCTGTTCCCCGTTAGTTTATACGCGCTTTCCTGACCTCTCTGGTAGTCAATGAAGCATGCCAAGTATTTTATAGGTGTACAAATTTTTATTTTTATTTTTATTTTTTTCTTTTACAAAAGTTTACCTATTTACTTCTATATGTTATATAGTGAATAATACGATAATACGGAGTAATTTTAAATGAGCGTATTCACGCATTGATAAACAGGGTCACAACAACAACATATACATGCCCAATTTAAGTTGTTCCCTTTAGTCTGATATAAAGACGGAATTAATTAAAACTTCTATTTAACACCTTACAAATGACATACAGATATGTAGGGTATGTATCACAAAATCCTAACCTCCACAGTTGATACTAACTGTGATAATGTAAGCATCAAAACAATATTCACAGTATGTATGTAGACATGCTCAAATTATAGTGTTCCACAAAACCGATCTAGTGTTAAACTCAAATCCTCCTAGTATTTAAGTTCCAACAGTTACTATTACAGAAGTTAAGATAGCTATCATCTAGACCCATCTTTCCAATAATTTATACTAGCAGTGGTAAGGAAAAACGTGAACCACAGAACCACAATGCATCCACAAACATGTTTAGTCTAGGTTGAACAAGCATACAACACTACTGTAACTACCAGTTTTATAGCAAAACAGATATCATTTTAGTTTGGTTTAATCTTCATTAATCCTGGAATCATTTAAGAGTGCAAAGAGTATGAAGCCTAAGGGAAAGAGTAAGGATAGAATCTTGCCTCAGAAACTTTTGTTCAAAGTTTCAACGTCGTCTTCTTAAAAAATCCCGGCGAGTTCCAAAACCCGGTTACTGTTCACGGGTACGAAACACTGTTTCCGAACACAAACTCTGATCTCCACCGTTCAGATTGTGCATCACTGAGTCGTGAACCTCTCCTCCAAAATTCAGCTCGATCGGACCACGGACGAAGCGGGATCGGATGTTTGATGAAATCTGGGCAGAATGGAAAAAAAACCTGTGCGACCTAGTTACTGTTCACGAGTACGAATCACTGTTCCTGAGGTCAAACTTTGATCTTCACCGTTCAGATTGTGCGTCACTGAGTCGTGAACCTCTCCTCCAAAATTCAGATCGATCGGACCACGGACGAAACGGGATCGGAGCTTTGATCAAACCTTGGCAGAATGTGAAAAACTGCGTTTTTCCTTCTCCACTTCCACAAAACGTGTACTTTGTTTAAAAAAACCCTACACAGACGTCTACTTTATACTTATAGAGTTTTCCAACCCTAGGTTCATTTAAGTCCAACTCACAATCCTAACCGGCCCATCCAATTAACGTAGAAACCTACGACGGCTATAATATAAAACCCTAATTTATACTGTAATTAAAACCCTAGTTAGATGTATTTACCTAATTACCCTATTCACCATTAAATACTTAACAAATAATCTAATTGAACAAAATAATAATTAGTAAACCCAATTAAACCAAATAAGACACACATAAAATAAGACACACATAGAATAATTAAACCAATTACACTTAAACCATTAATGCCAATTAAATAATTAAAACACTAACAAGTAATTCCAATCAAATAACTAAACCAATTACACTTAAATCATTAATGCCAGTTAAATAATTAAAATACTAACAAGTAATTCCAATCAAATAACTAAAAATAAATATCATTTAAATAAATTAAATCACCACAAAAGAAAACAATTAAGCACCTAATAAAAAAAATAATGACACATAATCAAATAAAATGCACTTAAATACCATTAAATACCAGGAATATCCTTTTTAAAATTAGGGGTATTACATTTAATGAAAAATATGTAAGACAATGGGGCATTTTGTAACTAAATGTGATAGTTTAGGAGGTTTTACGCACAAAACATAGTTCAGGGGGTTATTTGCAAATTTAGACATAGTTAAGGAGGTTTTTTGCACTTTACCCTTATATATATTTGATTATATTATTATTAAAAATATATATATTTTTAGGGTAAATCATTTCAGCCTCCCCAATCGCCTCCATATCTATTTTCGCTCTCAACTGTGAAATTGCCCCCTCTCTCTCTCTGCAACTGTAAACTACAAAATCAAAAAGAATCAGAAGTTTAAAACCCATATTGCAACAGATAATGAGAGAGAGAGAAAATAACTTGTTACCAACCAAGAAAAACCAAAGTCGCAAGAGAGGGTTACTGAGGACGTGAGAAGGAACAGCGACGTAGGATTGGAGGAGACGAATATCTGTTCTAACGGCCAGGAACTGTCAAGACCGAGATCTAGGTCCATCAGTAACCCTCTTTCCGTCATCGATTTTCTTCCTCTGGTTCAGATCGGATGATTTTCCCGAAACTTTTATCTCTTTATATTGCAACAGACAAGGAAAGAGAGAGAGAGAAAGATGCGAGTGGGTGATGATTTCAGATTGTGATTCCACACATAAATAAGAGAAACGGCATCGTATTAGGAAATGAGAGATTTGGCAAAAAAAATTGGCAACTGTTATATGTGAGAGGAAATTTGAGAGCCTAAATAAAAGTCCATTGAAGAGGCTTTTTTTTACCCGACTCTTATATTTTTTTTTTAATTGATGATTGAAGAATCTTTTTTTTTTTTTAATTAATTTGTTTGTGTTTTTTATCGTAGTTATTGTTTTGTTAAATTTTCAATTGTTACTTTATTTGAAAGTTTTTTTTTTTTTTTTCGAAAGTAAAAAGAGTTATTTTTGTTAATTTATCTTTAAAGAGTTTTTGTTTTGAAAGGCATTTTATATTTTGGTTTTAAATTACATATTTTTACACTGCCACATGAAGTGGTGAAGTATCGATTTTATATTTGTCAAGGCCAAATAGCACTACTCATATTTTTATGTTCTCGTTAATTATTTTCAAAACAATATACCACCTTTTACACCTAATAATAAAAGGTACGTGTTAAATAAATAAATAAGGTACAAGTAATGTTGAAAAATAATGTTTCAAAACGCAATACATACAAGGGGAGCCTTGTTTGACAATATCTTAATTCTTTGTCTTCAAACAAATAATTTTTTAGTTATATATTTTAAAATAAAAGTACCCGTCATTTAAGCATAGGTAGTCACTTGGTTTGGATTGATGATGTGGAAAGAAAAGAAAGAGAAGATAGTAGTTTTCGTGTTATAGGTGTGGTTAACAATTAAACCACGTGGTAGTCTATTAAAGGAAATGTATACCCACGTAGCAGATCAAAGAACTATCAAACCCTGACATCACCGTAGATAACTCAAAACCTCGAAAGGCCTCGTCATCATCGAGTTACCAAACTCTGGCACTACGCCAGGTCGCTCAAAACCTCAAAATACCGCGCGATCGAGTTTTTAAACCATGGCGCTGAAATGCCTCGCCATTGAGTTACCAAACCCTGGCGTTGCACCAAGTCTCTCAAAACCTCGAAAGGCCTCGCTATCGAGTTACTAAACCCTAGTGCTAGCCCCAGGTCAATCGAAGCTTCAAAAGGCCTCACCATCGAGTTACTAAACCCTGGTGCTGCACCAAGTAACTCAAAACCTCAAAAGGTCTCAGTATCAAGTTACTAATCATTGGCGTTGCGCCAGTCACTCAAAACCTCAAAAGACCTCGTTATCGAGTTACTAAATCATTACACTGCACTAGGTCACTCAAAACCTCTAAAGACCCCTCGCTGTTGAGTTACCAAACCCTGACGCCAGGTCAGGTCATGCAAAACCACGAAAGGCCTCGCGATTGAGTTACCAAACCTTGACACCACGCCAGGTTATTCGAAACCTCATAAAGCCTTACCATCAAGTTATCAAGCACTGACACTGAGCCAGGTCACCACTTCAAATGTTTGCACTATCGACACCACTAGCCATTAAGGCTTAAGGTATACGCGAGGCGTAGACATGAAGGACGTTGTACTCAGGCTACTCAAGAAAAAGATAGGGTATTCTCGGTTAGCATGATGTTTTCCTCATTGGAATATTTAGAAGGATTTTGGTTTGGTGGATGAAAAACTAAAACATGCTTTAAAACGAGCCTGGTTAGCTGGGACCATGGAAGTACGTTGCGACAAAAAAACTTGGCATCACATTTAATGCTCTGTCACCTTCATAATTAACTTGGTCACCAACAGTTATAAAATGGCAAAATGCATTTAATGCAATGGATGTAAATATCCACCAGTTTTTACGACTCGATAAGCAGAAGTGACCTATTAGAGCCCTAATGTCATCATGGCTGCCTAGATAGCCATGACATATGACACTAGACCTATCAATTGATCGGATTCTGATCTGAATCCGATCCGATTAGTTGGATATGGATTGGACAAAAAATCCGATAACCCGTTTATGATCCGAATCCGATAATCCGTTTACTTAACAAATCGGATATGGATTTTACCGATCCGATCCAATAATAATCCGATCCGAATTAAAATTATATATATATATATATATATATATATATATATATATATATATATATATATATATAAGAGTTCAGCACTCCATGCCCAAACCCATCTCCAAGCCCATATATATATATATATATGAGTCAAGCCCCAAATCCATCTTCAAGCCCACTTTTTGTTCCCAAGCCCATTAAGCCTACTTTAATCTATCTAAACCCTAGCTCACAAGTTCACAACAACATTATATCGTCTGTTCTCTCACTCACACTACCGTTACCGCAAAACAACCTTTTTTCCAAACACTCCCACAGTCCCACGTAGCAAAGTTGCAACACAAATCAGAAAAAGGAAGCCAACGATCGGCGATCATTGCAAAATATTACTCTTTTCAGGTCAGTGTTCTTCCTTTCTCTCTGATCCGATCTCACTTTTAATCGGAATTTTTGCTTTGATTCCTTCAAGCTCTTGGTCGATCTTCTTTCTTTTGTGACCTTTTTCCCTCAATATGTGTTAGTTGGGAACGGAGGCCCGTAATATTCAAGTTGTGCACTCAGATCTCACCGTCCCTAAACTAGGCCTTTAACATCGGCATCCCCAAGAACTAGGGCAAGCAGGAGTCAACCCCAGCAGCGGAAGAGTATCTGATGGTTAAACAGAGGAAAAGATCAGTTGAAGAACCATTGAGAGTGGAGTTTTGTCTGCGCCAACTACTGGTCCTTCGCTACCTACTGAACACTGATATATATTTTACCCTAATTTGTGATGTTCCTTTTTTTCTATTTCATAAAATTTGTTAGTTATTTTATTTTATTTTATTTTATTTTATTTTATTTTTTTTGTTTTCCTTCTATTATTCTTGTCTCTCTCGATTTGATTTTTATTACATTTTCTGGTGTAGATATTTTCATAAATTTATCTGTAAAAACTCTCTCTCAAATTTTTTTTTTCAAGTTTCCTACCTAATTTGTTTGTTGATTTGTGTAAAGTGTGTAGTTACATTATCGTACCGGACTATCGGATCGGATATCCGATAATCAAACAAATCGGATACGGATTGGCTTAGTAAAAATCCGTCGGATTGTCGGACTGGATCGGATCACTCATTATGCTTATCGGATTCGGATCGGATTGACCATGATCCGGTCCAAATCCGATCCGTTGACAGGTCTATATGACACGGACCGCTGGGTAATATCCGAGATGTTTGAGGGCTATAAATAGGAGCTTAAAGGTAAGCATTAAGGGCAAGAAAAATAAGGTATTTATATTATCGCAGTAGCACACATCCCTATCTCCACTAGAAAGGATTTAGATATATTTAGAGGGATAATTTATCTCTCTAAATCCATCATTTGTTATCCTTCAAAAAAATAAAAAGATTTAAAGAAAAAAAATAGCAAGTTAAGTGATATTTTCATAGTTCAAAAAATAATCATATAAAAGAAAGAAAAAAAAATTGTTATGACATTTAAGAAAGATGTGTTATGCAACATAAAATTCGTAACTTGTAACATAGATCTCTAAATAGATGAATAGTGGCTCTATGTGTGTAGTTCCAGAAATATGATTTGCTAGTGAATGTATTCTACAATGTCATTACTGAACAGCTGCCACATCATTTCAAGAGGCTCGCTGAGGTTATGTGTCCCATCTTATAACACATTTCATAAAAAGGTAAGGATAATAATTTAATTGTTATCTAGTCTTTTCTCTCCCTTGCATTTTTACATTTTTTAAACAATAATACTATTATTTTCTTTCTTTTTGTTTATAATTAATTCAAACATGAATTTTTTATTTTTTTTTCCCTTTTATAATTAACATTATTCTTTCTTTTTTTTCTCAGTTGTTAATTTAAACGAAGCTTAAGGATTGTTTGTTTTAATGAAAATGAGAGACAAAATAAAATGAATGATTCGACGAGAAACCTTGGTTAGGCTATGTTTGTTTTGAAATAATAGAGAGATATATAAGAGTTTGGAGTAGGGATACCAATTCGTGTTTGCGGATCATAATTGTGTCGTGTCGATCTAAGGATATTTTATTAAATAGATAAACTAAAACATGACCGGTTTAATAATCACGCCAGAGATATTCAATGCTAGCTCAACATGTTTATTAAACGAGTTACACGTGTTAACATCTTTAACGAGAAATTTAAAAAACGATACATTTAATACTTAATTAAACAATAAATACTAAATACATATATATAAGTCTTAATTAACCCAAATATTCATAGTAAGAAGAAAATATTAAATACCCCATAATCAAGTAGATAAAATACAACTGTTTAAGTAAAGATCATGAGGCTTAATATAAGGTTTGTGTTAAAATAACTTAACTGTTCATAATAGTTGGGGTCTAAACAGGTAACAAATTCCACATTCATATTCACAATTAGTTAAACAGGTTACACGTATCAACCCGTTTATGACCCGTTTATGACCCGACCCAGTTTAAGGTGAACCTAAACTCCCTTATCTTGTATCGTGTGAAAATTTGACATTCCTAATTTAGAGGGAGAATGAGAGCGCATGGGAAGAAAAGATGAGCAATTGGGGGTAATGGAACATAAGGGCATGTTGGTCCACGTTTTGGTAGGTTATTTGTCATTTCAGTACAACACATAGGTGGTCATTGTCTTTTTATACAATCGAAGGGCAATATGGTCATTTTATAAAATTTAACTAATGGTTACAACCGATAGAAAATGGCAGGGGTGTCATCGAGGATAAGCCACAAACCTTAGGGAGGTCAAAATAATAACCTTCAAATACTTCATCTTTGTGTAATTTGACAAAACTTCAGGGAAGGTCAGTGTAATTTATCAAAAAATAAAATGTATTCAAGATATATATATATATATATATATATATATATATATATATATTGTCTTGTCAAAAACCTAAAATATAGATTAGAAATATAATAGAGGAAACTTGAAAGGGCGGTTGTGTCATTTAAAAAATAAAAAAAATTTATTTAAAAAGTTAGAATTATAATTGTCACTTTCGAATATCACCATAAGAAAAATATGTATTAAAATTCTCAATCTCTCACCTCTGAAAGAAAAATGAAAAAACTGAATCTAATAACTTAGAGAAGATTTAAAGAAAATTTGAAAATTGTACCAAATTAAGATAAGAAAAAAATTTACCAATGTTTAAAAACTTCAACGTCGTTCTCTCTCTGGAAGCTCTAATTCACTATCTTTTTCTGAAATTTAAATTACAAAATTCCTCTTTTTTTAAAAAAAATTTAAACTGCAAAATCCATTACAAATGCTTAAATATTCCCCCATTTTTGGGAATAAGTAAGAGAAGAGAGGGAGCAATTTTTTTCGGAAAAGATCGTTAAAGTATGGTGAATTTTTCTTATTTTAAAAGGGTGCAGTTTTCAAACTTTGATAATTTTTTTTTATTTTTAAAAATTTTTTTAAATTAGTTGACGCGATTTAACATAAATAGTAGATAAATTTTAAATATCATGTGTTAATTTACAGAAAATTCAACTCAATAGAAAAATTTAATTTAGAGAATTCAAGTCTATAGTAAGGCAAAAAAATAAAAAAAGAAATTATAATTTTTATGTCACATAAGGTAACCCAAAGACGCGTCTGCAAATAACAAGTCACACGCATAAATACTTTATAAAAAAAAGTGACGCGCATAAATCAGAACGGATAATAGTAGCGGCTTCTAGGGTTTTCTCATCAGACCACCGCCTCATATAAATATCTCAATCCTCAACTTTTGAGTACTCAATTGCAAAGAATAACAGCAATAGAGGTAATCTTTAAAACTTTGAATCACAAAAAACTAGGGTTTTTAGTAAAGATTTGGTATATTAGGGTTTCGAACAGATAATCTGAAGCCGGAACGGTTTGAGTATAATCTGTTAAGCAATCTTGATTAATTACGAAGATGAAGAAATCGAATAGGGTTTCATGGGCTCCAGGAGTTAAGCTTTGTCAGGTACAGTCGCATTATCTTAATCAAACACTTTTTTTTCTTTTATTGAAAATTCAATTTCACGATCTTGATTTGTTCATAACAATGCTTTTCTAAGTTCAGTCATGTTTACTGAAACTTCAAGCCATTCGTTCTCTCTCCGTCTAAACTTCCTAATCTTCAGATCAATTGAGTTCTCTTAATAGTTTTTAAAACTATTACGTTTATGCCCATTTAGTTTGTTCTTGTTTTGTTTCACATTCTGCAATAATATATATTTTTTTCACTGGCCAATTTATTAACGTAATCTGAAGTCACCAATCTCAATACATTGTATCCCTTTGATTGCCAAGAAAACCGAGGAAACGTAAAGAAAAAGAAAAAGAAAAAGGAAAATTATGGTTCTTATGTTACACATATTGTTTTTGTTTTAGAAAAGTTATAAAAATATAACAACGCGAAAAAACTGCATTAAATTCAGTTTGAAGCCCTACTAATAATGATTTGACAAATCAAAATTTGTTTCATAGTGTTTCCAACATTTCAACAGAGCTCAATAAGATATAACGGCAAATATGGTTTTGAAATACTATATGGTGGCTCTATTCTTATCAAAAAAAGAGAATACTATATGGAGGCTCTAAGAAAAGCCTCCTTATAGTAATAAGCGGTAGTTTGTGCTTCCATAGCAAAAGAAGTGTAGCGTTGGGCTTCTGCCAATTTAAATTGCCTAGTGATTCTTGCGCCGGACTTTCAAAGTGAATTGCTTGACCTTTACCAAAATATAAGAAAGTGGAGGGTCTCACTCCCCTATATCCTTATATTTTGCATATATGACGGAATCAAAACTTGAAGGTCAAGCAAATCACTTTTAACTAACCGGCCTAAGAATTAATGAATCATTTTTCATTTAAAATTATACCTTCAATTTTTTTTTTTTTTTACAAAGAATGCTACTTCTTTGTAACATGTCTCAAAACCGAGTGTTAAGGGCATGATGCTAAGGGATTCGTCCAATATATTCATAATTAAAAAGAATGTCTGTTATCTTGGAAGTTTTCTTGTTTATCAAGTCCTCTGCAGTTTGCACATTACATCAAAATAATCATTGACCCCATTTATGCATGCATGTTGAATTGAAACACAAGTGTTATCAAGATTCCTATATTCAAAAACAATAATAAGGATTAAATTGTTCCAAGATTTCACCAAGACTTTTCAACTTTGCTTCAAAAATAAAAATAAAAATTTACATGCTGCTGTAAGGTGGGGAAAGAGATTTCTAAATCAAAGAGTTACATTTTTCCAACTTTCCCTGTTCAAGGATAGATAACAACTAGAATTACAAAGATTATTATTTCCGAAGTTAATTATAAGTTGTAATTGTCCAAGATTTACAAGAGACTTAAGTATGTTTCAGAATCAAAGGCTTAAACTGGTTTGTTGTTATACACTTCTTGAAGGGTTTCCTGTGATTAGCTGATTCTGGGATACCTGTAACCAATGACAAGGATTTTGGTATGGTAAATGTAGAAGTACTTGTCAGACAGTACAACATCCTATTTTTTCTTTTAGGTTACTAGTCAGACAGTATAACATCCCAAAATTTCTTTTAGAATTAGACTTTCACTGCCTAACCAGTGGTCAGTATAGAACTCTCATTTAATTTCATGTCTCACATTTAGATCCTCTGGCCCCTCTTTTAGCTACAAATATTCTTTAACTGGTTTAGGTACACCTTGTCACCCAAACAACATATATTTTAAGAATTCAATAGCGTGTAATAAAAATAGAAGTTAAACAGAAGTGCTTTATACAGCTTATAATGTCTACATTTACTACTAGAAAGTTCAAAATCTACTTATTTTGTGTCTTAGAGGATGTACCTAGTTCTATAAATGAGCAGGAAAACCTTGTTGGAAGGTGCATCGTTACTTTTTTCAGAATGAAATGTCTATGAGAAACAATGTAAACATCTGAGCATGTCTTAGGATATTGAAATTTCTCCAAACAGTGGCTTTTGAACAACTTTTTATCTTCAAACTTAGGTTTGATTTGAGTCCAGAATACTGTATTATACTGTATTAGAATTTCCATGTTTATACCTTCTAGCCCGGTTAGAGTTCTGACAAATTATTCTGTTATTAGCATAAATCAGTTAAGTGAAAAGTTTATTTATGTGTTAGTGGTGTTTTTTGATTTAAAATAAATTCACCCACTGTCCCCTGCAGGTGGATATGCCCAAATTTTTAATTTAAATTTGATATCATGGGGGTACATGATTACATGTGAGACGCACAAATATCATTTTATGAGTGGCAAAATGCCAAATGGATTCTTGTTGATAAGGAAAAAGGGGAAATGGATTGAAATTATCTAAATGAACCATGGTTGTTAAATGGCAAAATGGGAGTGGGCAATCATATATAGAAACTTGGTGGTTGAATGAGTGATTCAAAAAGCAATTGGCATAGAAAGAGCCTGCCTTAAAGGTCCACTTAAATGGAAGAAATAAAAGAATTCTTAAAGGTATGAATTAGTTAAATGAAAATTGGGAGGCCTGTAAGGGAAACAAAACATAAGACTTATGATAATTTATATATACTAAGTATGTTGTGCCAGCAAGGGAAGGTCAAAGCACAATTACTCATTTAACGTACTAGAATTTAGAGGGCAGGGGAGGGATGAGTATTTCGGCGGTAAACAGAGGGGGAAAGGACTATGGAGCTAGCACCTTTGAGAGTATGGGAGGGGAAGCTGAAGTGGGGGGTAATGGGTTTCAAGAGTGGTATTCCTACTATGAAGGGTGGCAAAGTCATGTCCTTGAAGGGATAGTTTGAAAGCATGGCAAGTCCCGTGGTGCTTCCTTAATGGCTATAACAAAAGATTCTTTTTTAAAAGGGAGGAGTGGATGGAATTTTTAGCATGAATAGGATATTGGGGGGAGAAAATGTTGATTTTTCGATAGAAAAGAGGGTGGGGGTGGGGGTGGGTTGTTGGTATTTAATGAGCATAACAAAGGGCCTTTGGTTCCAGTAGGGAGGGAATAGTTTCCTTGAGGGAGAGAAAATTGGGTTGGACAAGCTTTCCTCTTTGTTTTTATAGTGGATTTAAGGTTTTAGTAATTTTATTTGTGTTTTCCTTTTAAGGGTTTCAGGATTGTGCCATGAGATTGTTTAAGGCGATTGAGAGGAGTTGGGAGATTAACAAGGGGGACGAGGTTAGGAGTGATACAGTTCAAACTCTAGAAAGCAAGGGTAGCTGAAGAAATTTTGTGCTGTTAAATACTATAGGAATAGTGGGATGGTGAGGAAGTAAAATTAGGCAAAAGGGTGGAGGCAGCAATTATGAAATCAAGAAAATGTTCGTATCTCATGGGATGAATGGAAAGGAGTGGCAAAATTTGCTTTAAAAAATTGGAAGGTAGATATTTTGCTGGTAGGAAACACACACACACACATTACGCTTTTTAAGAATGTGGTGAGAAGTTTGTGGGATGGTTACTCATGAAATAGGTGTTTTCATATTGCATATTTATTTTGTGGACCATGCTTCTGCTTCTCTTGGGTTGGACGAGCATAGCTTTTGAGGCAACATAGGCATAAATGTCATCTGACCAAGAGTAAGTTCATACATACACTCGGGAGATTTGGGTGGCAGAAAGCTTGGCCAATGTATTAGGGTGTAAAACAATGGTATAGAGGTTTAAGGAAAGGTTGGTGGCTTGGAAGAAGCCGCTTTTAGAGGGAAGGATGATTGATTAATTGCAAACTCTCAAGCCTTTCGACATACCCCAGGTCAATCTTTCTCATTCCATCCTTGATAGAAAAAAGGTTGAAAAAGTGTTGCAGAGATTTTCTATGAGGTATAATGGAAGACAAGTTTATATTTCATTTAGTATATTGGGTTTGTCCATCAGGAAGCTAAAAATGTTTGATCAGTCCAGTGATTTCTGTGCGGATGTGATGTCTTCTTGTTTGCTTTGAGGAAATCTTGCATGTGATGATCCATTTTACCTTTATCTTGGTCCACTTTTCAGCATTGCTAAGAGATGCGCTTTTGACAACAGGAGGGGGGGCGGGTGGTTCGGGTGGCATGTGGTTCAGTTATAGCCAAATTCTAGTTAAATAATATGTTGTGCTAGATTGATCTAGTGTCAAAATAACATGGTTTTTGCTTTTGCCCCAACTAACTTTCAGGTGGAAGTGGTCAAGAAAAAGAATCTCATCTGTGGATGTATGGGATTATGGTGTACAATGCTACATTATTAGTTGGTATCTGATAACATTTGAAGTGTTAGAACAGTTTGAAATCTGTTCAAGTGGATATTACAAATTATATGTTTCAGTTTAGAATTGTTTATAAAAACTCTATTTGGGATATGGTTAACGAATTGAAGGTTTCCAATTACATGACATGTATGAATCTAGATTTCCTATATATTAGTTTCTTTGTTTAACCTTGAAATTGAGTCAAAAAACCACCAGGAATACTTGATTTCTCATCTAATCTTACTTTCTCATGCTTCAAAATTTACTTCTATAATAAATTCATCTAACATCTTGAAACTGCACTTTCCCCCCCCCCCCCCCCCCCCCGCGCCACCCTCCCTTTTTTTTTCTTTTTCTTTTTTTTTTTTTCTCTCTCTCTCTTTTATTTATTTAAACCCACTAATAATAGTTTGTATGGATAACTTTATATGTATGCATTTAATGAAGGAAAATATATTTCTCTCCGAAACTCCGAATTTGAAATTTGGATTTGGAGTTTCAGAGAGTATCATGGCTCTTATGCCGTGTTCGGAAGGAAGAGGTATGGAGTGAAAATAGAAAGGAAGGAACAAACTTCCTTTGTTCGGTAGAGATAATACAAGGAAAGAAAGGAGAATCGGAAGGATGACACAAATTTTCCTTCTTTCTTTACAAATTTTCATCCGCCCAAAAATGGGCGGAAAGGAGAGAAGACAAGTGAACTATTATAGAAGTTTTAAATTATATACTATCCTAAACTATACAAGTTTTAAATTACACTATTATCCTCTATAAATTACAATATAATAAATATTATTAGATATAATGGTAAAAACAATTGAAGATTTTCTTTCCTTCTCTCTTAACGAACATAGTAAATTATGAGTTTATTTTCTTCTTTTCAATCCAACCGAACAAAAAGAAGGAAATTCACAATCTCTTCCCTAGGATGTCTCATCCATTCTTCTCTCCCTTCCATCCAATTTTTTTCTTTCCTACCGAACGGAGCATTAATGAAAGTTATCTTGTTATGTGACAAGCACAGGGTGAGTTGGATTTTCTTTATGCTTGTTTTTTTGTTATTGAACCTGGCAGCAGTGTAAAACCATTTGCTGCACTTAATCTCCTAGCAAAAAATTTACTCTCATGCTCGGAAGTTTACTTATATCTATAATCAATTTATTCAATTTCTTGAATGGCACTTTTGAAATTCTTTCTATCATCTATTATAATCAATTTATTCAATTCTTGAATGGCACTTTTAAAGTTCATCATCAATTGTTTGCTGAACTAACTTTTTATGTCAGGATTTACCGTCCTTTCGGTTCAGTGTTGATGTTTTTGTTTAGTGTTTTCTTTAGTTATTCTCTATTGGATTATATATTATGTTAAAAGCTTCTGCAGCTGTAGTTGGGTAACAATTGAACGAAGCCGTTGGTGTGCTATTTTTTCAGAGCTTAACAGTAGCTAATTATTAGCTTTCATTGGGACATCTGTTTGATGATGGTTATACAAGAAACATATTTACAATTTCCATTTAATCTTGATTAAATTTTTGGTTGGATTAGATGGGAATCTTGCAAACCTTGGCGCCATGGCCCATAGGCAGTGATTCGTACACTTTTTTTTGTATAAAGGGCCATCACACTTCCTTTAATTGTGCTTTTGCGAGCAGTCCTGTTAGAATTCTTAGAATTGTTTTGTTTATAGCAGCGTTTGCTGACTACAATAATTGTTCGTTTTGTTTACCAATTACATTTGGTCAATGCCATGTTGCGTTGAGTTTTTATCATCATCTTTTGTTTACTGTTGTTTTCTGTAAGGATATTCTGAGGGTGCAATGTGCATCTTCATAGTAGTCAAGAATATTAGTTCCTTTCTTACATGTTGAATGTTACTGATCTTATAGAGTAATTGTAGTATGAGGTGTCCGCACTTTTTGCATTAATACATCTCATCTTTCTTTATAGAATTTTTCTAGCAGCAGAAGAGTTTACTTACTCCTGATGAAGGCATGATGAAAAGATAGTATTGTAGAATATATTGTTTCTTCCACTTGTGTAGGTCAGGATTGAGAGTTGTGGGCCTTGTGGTCCAAAGCCTTGCTCAACGGGTGGAAAGGTCTGTTGAGGTTAATGCCTTACTGAAGTGAAGGGTTGTTGTAGCTTGGCTTGAGCTTTTGAAAACTAAACCCACATGTTTTGTGCCCTGTGCTGTTTTTCTTTAAGATAATTAATTTAATTACAAGAAATTAACTTATTGTGATTGCTTTAATTTGCAAAACCAACGTACCCTCTCTTTAGGGTTTCCTTAAATTGGTTATTCTGGGATTAGGATATATATACAATTATATATAGTCTTGAAAACCTAAAATCTGTCTCAGAAGTTTGATTAAGGAGTATACTGATTTTTATGTTTCCAAAGAGAATCCTCTGGGCCTTTTCATGGGAGGCATGTTCTTTTCTGTCTTCCCTTATATTTTTTTTTAGCATTTACGAGGATTATTAATTTCTTTTTTAAAATTGGAAGGGAGGGGGGAGTTAGCATTTTTCAGGATGCATCTAGCATTGTTGCTGGGTTACTTCATCTGCCTTAAATTTGCTTGGATATTTCTTTTCCCCACTTTTTTAGCTTTTATTTTATAATCTCATTACCATACATTTGTGGACCAGATTCTTTTGCTTTCAGTCTTGTGACGTGGACTATAAATTCTGTTTCATTTATACACAGACACACACATGTATATAAATGTCATAGTTCTATTGATTATAATTGTTTTTAACCAGACTTATACTTTTGATCAAACAGGTAAAATTGTTTCTATCAGACGATTTCCCTATAAAAGTTGGTGTCAAAACCCAAGATCATCTACAAACAAAGACATCATTATTGTTACATTCAAAGGGTGTGGACTCTGATGGCCATTCCTCTGAGTTTGAAGGTAGACATCATGCAAATGCATTGAAGGAGAAACTCTCCCGCATACCACAGATAAAATGGAAATGCCCTCCTAAAGTAAGCTCATATGATTTCTCGAATGTTTATTCGAACTTGTATACTTACATTGTGAAAGTGTGACTTTGGACATGGTGATCTCAACTCCAGCGAATAAATCTGGTGTAAACTGGTTTCCTCCTTTTTGATGGAACAGATTGTTTTGGATGATAACTGGCATGTGGCTGCTGGTGGAGAAAGCCAAGAAGCAGAGACTCAAAAGCGTCGGGAAATGAGAGTGCTTGAAGCAGTTTACCCTTATTTTGCTGCCATTCCTCCCAGGTAAATTCTCTCTCCAGTTTTTCTGGTAGGTTCATTATCTTGTTTCAAACAAACTTTATCCATCATTTTTCTAATTTCCATGTAGCCCTTCTGTATCGTTGGATGTGGAAGAATGCCGTCAACAAGATGATTGCCACATTCCTCTTGTCCCCATCACTCCCATTGAAGAAGGCAGTCCCGCAGATATGCTGTCGGGTATGGCAGAACCACCAAATGCTTCCCATAACTCGCAGCCGCTAACCTTGGCCCAAGGTGTGTCAATGTCTGGAAATCCCAATACATCTCAGTGCAACGTCCCTCCTCTAAAACCATCTGCCTATGAAAAATCTGCATTTGAAACATTACCTGGTTTAGAAGCCAATGCTGCTGCTGCTGCTGCTGCATTAGCTGCAATTGTGAAGAGCAATGAGCAGGGAAGCTTGATTGATACTGATTTGCTCATAAAATTTCTCAGTGACCCAAAAATGATAGAGAAACTGAGTAATGAAAATAAAGCTCCTGCCAATATCGAAAATGCCCCAATATCTGGATCAAAGCCAATGATACCATCAATTCCCTTCCGCAGTTTAAAATCTGATGAGATTAAGAAATTTGCTAATCAATGTGAAGCACCGGCAAATCCAGGAATTGCACCCGCCACTCAGTCAAACCTAGTGACACCATTGGTTCCATTCCCAAGCTCAAAACCTAGTGTAGTAATGATTAATGAATATAGAGGACCTGAAAATAGCCGAAATGAACCCAGGTCAATTCAATCAACTCAGTTTTGCCCGGAACCTGGTATGGGTGTGCCACCGATTCCAATGTTGAATCCGGTACAAAATATGGTGCAACCAGGCTTACCTGTGAAGCCATGTCGAACGGACGCAGTTCCAACATTCTCTCTCTCAGCTGTGACTGCTCCACCCGCAAAGGACTTCAATTATTATAAGAGTCTTATTAAACTACATGGAGAGAGGCCAGAAACGCAATATTACAAACCGGTCTCACATTATGTACAACCTTACAATGACTTACGAGGCACTAAATTGGTACCAAGCATTATACCAATTGAATCAAATATGAAGAATCAGAAGCCTTGCATCTACTTTAATAGCTCAAAGGGATGCCGAAATGGCTCTCTATGCCCATACAAGCACGATATGCGAAGTAAGTTGCGATCTGGCGGCGCATTGGAGGCTTCGAGTGCAAAGAGAATGAAACTAGATGGGGAAATTACTGGAAGAACATAATGAAGCTACTTGCACCTATAAAGTTTTTCAAACTTAATTCATGAGGCTTTGTACTTGTCTTCCATCCTTGCAAAACAGTTGAGCACCATTATCATTTATTCTCCAAATTTAACCAATTGAAATATAATATTAAAAAATGAGTATCTCTATTGTGAAAGTTCTCTCAAGAGGACACGAGTTCTCCTTATTTAAATACGAAACAGAGACAATTTTTTTTAAACGTGTTAAAAGTCAAATGAATATTTTAATTCGTTGAGTCGAAAAGTTTAGGGTAGGAGGGGTCTTATAGTAGCATTACTTTTAAAAAAATTACTATCTTTTAATAATTCTCAAACACCTGTCTTATGGTTAAATATGAAAGCATTACTCAATTTCCAAAAACAATCATTTATATTTATTATTATTATTATTATTTTTATTATTATTATTATTAGTTATAAAGAAAAAAACAAAACAAAAATTACTTTTGCCAAATGCAAATATATATATATATATATAATGTGAGTACTCTTATAGAGAGTAATGATACTTGCACCGATTTATTGCACCGAATGTGTTTGATTAATTATTTATGCATAGTACATGTAAGTGAAATGTCCCACTTCTTTATTTATGCGATTTGTTATGTATATTATGCATAAATAACCAATTAAAAACATTCGGTATAACAAATTGGTACAAGTATCATTACTCGTACATGACCGCTTCCAATTATTGTGTTTCTTTTTCTACTCTAGTCGCTGCCATAATTGAAGAAGTCATTACCTTCCAACCTGCACGCTCTCATTTGCGTGAAATCTCAAAATTGAATAACATTTTCGAAAGATTAGCAATTTGATGGATCACATGACAATATGACATACATCTCAATTGCAAGAAGACTAATCTTTGAAATTGGATTTTTTTTTTTTTTTTTTTTTTTCTTTCTTAAACTCAATTTCCAATATAATTATTTTAAAAATGCCCACCAAAATTAAACTTCTTACTTTTCAATTTTGTATTATCAAAACTATTTTTCATTTTTTCAATAAGGCCTTTTATCAAAACTAAATCAACCAGAGCATCAAATTTGTTTCAAAACCCACTGCAAACAACAAAAAAATTTAGAAGACTGCCTGATACCCTGCTGTATAACTAGCCTCGAATTTGTATAGATAATTATGGATGGTTGTAAATGAATTAAATAATTATCTAATTAATTAACTGATCACTTGAGAATAAAATCTACTTAAAATGGACTACAACACACACGTGTGTGTGTATCAGTTTTTAGTAGCACCTAAAACTCCAATTTTCACGGCCCAAATTTCAATTATTGTCCGAAAAATCTAACACAAACACGCTTTACATCTCACACAAATTACAACATTGTGTTTGTCTTTCATTGTTATTACATTTTAAATTTTGTCAACATTTTTATGTTCTCATTAATTATTTTCAAAACAATATTATGCCTTTTAGACCTAATAATTAATGTATGCGTTAAATAAATAAGGTACAAGTAATGTTGAAAAATAATGTTTCCGAACATAGGGGAGCCTTGTTTGTTAACCACGTGACAGTCTATTAAAGATAATGTAGACCCATGTAGCAGATCAAAGAACTATCAAACACCGACATCATCACAGGTAACTCAAAACCTTGAGAGACCTTGTCATCGAGTTGCCAAACTCTGGCACTACATCATGTCACTCAAAATCTCAAAATACCTCGCCATCAAGTTATTAAGTGCTACGCCAGGTCACTTTCGCCATCGAGTTACCAAACTGTGGCGCTGCGCTAGGTCACTCAAAACCTCAAGAGGCCTTGGTACCAAATTACCAAACCCTAGCGCTGCGCTAGGTCACTCAAAACCTCAAGAGGCCTTGCTACCAAATTACCAAACCCTAGTGATGCGCCAGGTCACTCAAAACCTCTAAAGGCCTTGCCATCGAGTTACTAAACCCCAGCGCTACCCCAGGTCACTCAAAGCTTCGAAAGTCCTCACCATCGAGTTACCAAACCCTAATGTTACGTCAAGTCACTCAAAACCTCAAAAGGTCTCGCTATCGAGTTACTAAACCCTGTCGTTACGCCAGTCACTCAAAACCTCGAAAGACCTCACTATCGAGTTAATAAATCCTTGCACTACGTCAGGTCACTTAAAACCACGAAAGACCTTGCCATTGAGTTACCAAACCCTGGCGCCAGGTCAAGTCATACAAAACCTCGAAAGACCTCGCGATTGAGTTACCAAACCCTAACACCACGCCAGGTTATTCGAAACCTCGTAAGGTCTCGTCATCAAGCTATTAAGCCCTGGCACTAGGCCAGGTCACCACTTCAAATGTCTGCACTATCGACATCACCAGCCATCAAGGCTTAAGGTATACATGAAGGACGTTATGCTCAAGCTACTTGAGATAAATATAGGGTATTCTTGGTTAGTATGAGGTTTCCTTCATTGGGATATTTATAAAGATTTTGGTTTGGTGTATGATAAACTAAAACATGTTCTAAAACGAGCCTGGTTAACGGAGACAGTGGAAGTACATTGTGATAGAAAAACTTGGTATCACATTTAATGCTCTGTCACCGTCATAATTAACTTGGTCACCAACAGTTATAAAATAGCAAAATGCATTTAATGCAATGGATGAAAATATCCAGCAAGTTCCATGGCTCGATAAGAAGAAGTGACATTTTAGAGCCCTAGTGTCATCATGGCTGCCTAGGTAGCCATGACGCATGACACGGATTGCTGGGTAATATTCGAGACGTTTGAGGGCTATAAATAGGAGCCTGAAGGCAAGCATTAACGGCAAGAAAAATAAGGTATTTATGTTATCGCAATAGTACACATCCCTATCTCCACTAGCAACTCGTTAACCAGTTTATTTCTCCTCCTTCTTCTATCTCCATCTTTGGATCTCTCATATTTGTGTTCATAGATATCACCATTTACATAATTTTTATTGTGTTGTAAAAAGACCCTACTACACGTGTTTAGGTTGCCATTAAAGAGAAAAAAGAAAGGATTTAGATATATTTAGAGGGATATCTTATATCTCTAAATCCCTCATTTGTTATCCTTCAAAAAAAATGAAAAGATTTAAAGAAAAAAATAGCAAGTTAAGTGATATTTTCATAGTTCAAAAAATAATCAAAATAATTAAAAGGAAAAAAAAAAATTTGTTATGACATTTAAAAAAGATATGTTCTGCAACGTAAAATCCGTAACTTGTAACATAGATCTCCAAATGGATGAATAGTGGCTCTATGCGTGTAGTTCCGGAAATTTGATTTGCTAGTGAATTTATTCTAAAAAGTCATTGCTGAATAGCTGCCACTTCATTTCAAGAGGCTCAGTGAGATTATGAGTCCCATCTTATAACACATTTCATAAAAGGGTAAAGATAGTAATTTAATTGTTATCTTGTCTTGTCTCTCCCTTAAATTTCTATATTTTTCAAACAAAAATACTATTATTTTCTTTCTTTTTGTTTATAATTTATTCAAACATGAATTTTTAATTTTTTATTTTTTTCTCTCTCATAACTAACATTATTCTTTCTTCCTTTTCTCAATTGTTAATATAAACGAAGCTTAAGGATTGTTTGGTTGAATGAAAGTGAGAATCAAAATAAAATGAATGATTCCATGAGAAACCTTGGTTAGGCTATGTTTGTTTTCAAACAATAGAGAGACATATAAGAGTTTGGAGTAAGGGTGTCAATTCGTGTTTGCGGATTATAATTGTGTTGTGTCAATCTAAGAATATTTTATTCAATAGATAAACTCAAACACGGCCGGTTTAATAATCGTGCCAGAGACAACCAATACTAACTCAAACTATTTATTAAACGAGTTACATGTGTTAACCTGTTTGATGAGGAATTAAAAAAATGATACATTTAATACTTCATTAAACAATAAATGCTACAAAAAGTATATAAATCTTAATTAACCCAAATATTCATAGTAAGAAGAAAATATCAAATATCTCATAGTCAAGTAGATAAAATATAAAATATTTAAGGAAAAAAAAAAAAGTAAAAATCATAAGAGCATCTCCAATCGTTGTGTGTGTGTGTGTATGTGTATATATATATATATATATATTTTTTTTTTGTGTAAAAATGTGTCATGATAAATTTACACTTATTTTTTTTTTAGCTCCAATGGTTATTTTATATTTTTTTGTGTAAAAATATATTTCCCAATAACAACCAACCATGTGTCATGTCAAACTCCACGTAACTTTTACAAACTTAATATAAGGTTGATTATAGAATATATGTTGATGTGCCTGTGTAAAAAGGTTGTGTAAAATACACAATAATTTTACCTATTGGTGACGTGACAGTATATCTTAACAGACTGTTGGAGATAAAAAAAAAAAAAAAAAAAAAAAAAAAAAAAAAAAAAAAAAAAAAAAATTATACATCATACATGACAGTGTATATTTTATACAAAAAAATATTTTAACAAATGCTGGAGGTGCTCTTAGAGCATCTCGAACAGTTTGTTAAAATATCTTTTTGTGTAAAATATACACGTATGAGGTTTAATTTTTTTTTTTTTTAATCTCCAGCATTCAGTTAAGATACACTACCCCATCATCAATGGGTAAAATTGTTATATATTTTATACAATCTTTTTACACAGTCACATCATCATATTTCCTTTCTCCTCCATCTTTCTCATTCCATTAAGAAATCAACTCTATATTAAGTAGGTTTGTAAAAGTTATGTGAGGTCCATGCATGACAGTGGTTAGTTGTTAATTGTTTTAATTCAAATTTTTTGTATAAATCTATTATGACACATCAGATTTACTAAATAAATATATACACACACAAAGGTTGACGATGCTCTAAAGTTTGTGTTAAAATGATTTAACTGTTCATAATAATTAGGTCTAAATTGGTAACAAATTACATAGTCATATTTACGATTATGACGCATTAAAAGAACGGTTGTGTTATTTAAAAAATAACAATAATTTATTTAAAAAGTTAAGACTATAATTGTCACTTTAAGATTGGAGTACAAACATAAAAAAACAATAGAGACCGAATATCTCCATAAAAAGAAAAATGTATTAAAATTCTCAATCTCTCACTTCTGAAGAAAAATGAAAAAACTGAATCCAATATAGTCAGGCAAAAAATAAAA